GAAAAATGTTAATGGATCACATATTCTCAATTCAGATTTTTTCTCCAGTCATTTTTTACAAGTCCTTGTCTCCAGACACCACTTTCCTGCTTCAGGTTGCCAGTAGATCAGAGAAGAAAATGAAATTGCAAATTCCTATGAAGAGGAAATCTCAAAACCAATCATTTGCTCTTGGCTGAACACTTTGTTGGGTGATATATTTTAAGATGTGTGAGTTGGTAGTTGTGAGTTTATATGGTATCTAAATAATATAGGTGCATTTCTTTTTGCTAGTAAAATATATATATAACTAGTGTGTAGAGGAAGTAAAAATGTATTGATTTGTATTTTTGAAAATATTTAACAAAGAAAATGTTGTTCTGCAAATAAGAGCATATGTTCTGGATCTCTGCCCTTCTGAACAAGTCTGAGATGCTCTGTCTCAGAATAGATACTTTATTCCTCCAAAGAACATGGGTAGAAATGATTCATGGATAAAGGCTGAGCCTCAGTACATGTACTTATTTATTTTACATGTAATTTCATGTATCTATGTAGTTATTTATGAACTGTTGCTGAAACTGATATGAATGTTTGAGGATTCAAGCCATTATTTGACATTTAGTATCGCGTAAACAAATCTGAGTTCTTAGTTTTGTTTGGCAATAAAATTTTGTGATTGGGAAGGGCCATGAAGGTATTCAGAGCAAAATATCTGAAACTTGAACCTCCTAATAACTGGCCTTCTGTCCTCTCCTGTGAACACCTCCAGTAGGACTTTCACATGACCCTAACTTCAAGATGAAATAATAGCATCTCTGTTCAAGGCTGTGTTATTTACATGTGGATCTGTGTGAGGGAAATGAAGCAACACAGCACATTTTTAGACTAGCAGGATGCTTTACAGTAGGAATTTGTATGAGTACAAACGTGAAAGTGTATCCTTATATATACAAATTCTTTGAGTCATAGCTAGTGGAGCAAAATCATCTTTTAAATTGTAATCTTCAGTTGCATGATACTCAATTTAGAAATTTCCATCCATGGCCTGAGAGGGGAAGAAAATTCTCTTTATATGTACTACCTTCATTCACACAAGACATTTTATTTATATTACTGATTTAATCAAAATCTCCTACTGTGCAAATGTTCTCCATATGGGGAAACAGAAGACCAGAGTGCATAAAGCCAGTTCTTTGTGTCTTTCAACTTTTAAAAAATTATGGACATATAATGTTTTCCCTATTTTTTTTAGATTACAGAATATGGCATTTTTTTTCCTTAATCAAGGTAAAAGCTCACAATCTAAAACTCAGTTATCATCATCTTATTTTGCCCTATATATACTCTTTCAATTTCTCATGTGAAATTTGGTGTCTTCCCAATAGAGGATATGGTCAAGCAGAAATGACACAGAGTCTGGACGATGGGAGAGAGTGATCTGAGACCATAGCAAAGAGAAAGATCAGGACTGAGCTGGTTCAGGGGCAGAGAAGTAGTTAGGCAGTTACCATGGAAGGAGTTAGGAAGCTACTGGACAGTAATTACAGCAGAGAAACAGGGAGTAGAGTGAAGGGGATTTTGTAAGAAATGGATGCGAGACCAAATCCTGGCTCAGCCATCCAGCGGCCATATAACCTTGGAAGAGGTTTTCATCTCTCTGGACTGCCATTTCCTCAAAAGGGGAGGCTCCCATCTTCCAGAGCTGTGGTGAAAGGACCTGTGTGAGGCTGGTGAACCTCATAAACAGTGTTTTTGCTTTTCCCTTTCAGCTCTAACTTGACTCTGTCCTTCCTGAATTAGAGAGCCGTGATGATGATGTTATCAGTGTAAAGAGTCTGTCGTTATTGTTCAGTTGCCCAGTCGTGTCCGACTCTGCGACTCCATGAACTGCAGCACTCCAGGCTTTCCTGTCCTTCACTGTCTCCCAAAGTTTGCCCAAGTTCACGTCCATTGCATCGGTGATGCTATCCAGCCATCTCATCCTCTGACACCCTCCTCTCCTTCCACCCTCAATCCTTCCCAACATCAGGGACTTTCCCAATGAGTCAGCTGTTCACATCAGGTGACCAAAGCTTCAGTATCAGTCCTTCCAATGAATGCAGAGTCTACACATCCCCAAATGACCCTCCCTTTTCACTACAGAGAATTTCAAAATTTATAGAAAAAATAAACAAAATGTATAACAAATCTCCATGTACCCATTACCTAGCTTCAACAATTACAAGTCACTGTCCATCTTTTTCATCCACAACTCCATCCACTCCCTACTTTCTGCATTCAGTTCAGCTCAGTTCAGTTGCTCAGTCGTGTCCAACTCTTTNCTCTTTGTGACCCTGTAGAGACCCTGTAGCCCATCAGGCTCTTCTATCCATGGGATTCCCCAGGCAAGAATACTGGAATGGTTTGCCATTTTTCTTCTCTACATAATACCATAATACACCTTAAATATTTAACAGTTACTCCTTAATATTATTAAGTATCCAGTGTACTTAAATTTCCAATGTCTTGCATTTTTTAGTTTACGTTAATTCAGATAAAAGTTATATTCACAAATTACACAGGTTGTCTTTTAAATGTCTTGATCTGTTAGCTAACGTGCTCTTCTGTTCTCTGTATTTTATGTAAATTAGAAGATTCATCAGATTCATGTTGATTTTGTTATTGTTGTTGCTACCATTATTACCTATGTCAGATAAGTTATATCACATGAACACACCAAGTGGTATTGCCTTTGAGGATGTAATTTTTCCAACTGGTGAACAACTTTTGGAAAAGGTCTGAACAAACCAATCTATAATCTTCCCTCAATGTAAACAGTGCATAGTTACTTCCTGGAAATTTTGGTATATATTAAAATGTACAAAAATATTTTTCACTTATATGTAATATGGAGTTGGGCTTTAGACTCAGATAATTATAAATTATTTTTCCTCTCCATGAATGTCTGGCAAGTCAGATGGTACCTGGGAAAATTCTTTACCAAGGAGGATTATCTGCCACGTTGTAGAAAGTCTAACATTTCTGGATTCTGTCCTCTAAATGCCAGTAGCACCCCACCATATCTTTAAGACTTCTATTAATGTCCTTTCATGGGATTTCCTGGTGGGTCAGATGGCAAAGAATCTGCCTGCGATGTGGGAGACCCAGGTTCAGTCCCTGGAAGATCCTCTGGAGAAAGAAATGGCTACCACTCCAATATTCTTGCCTGGAGAATTCCATGGACAGAGGAGCCTGAACAACGTACCCTCATATTCACAAAATTCCCTGTGATTCACTTCATCTCCTGTTGAAAACTACTGGCTCAGTTTGAGAAGCAGCAAAAGAGGAAATTGATTTTAATTGCATATATGCTCTAGCTCGGGAAGTAGATAAAGAAAATGTCTTGTGTGGGGAATAACTATTGAAACCTTCACAATTTTAAAGCTTTTCAACATTTTTCTCCATTGGCAGAATTTTGTTTCTCCAAACAGTACTGGAAAATGTGAATAAGTTTTCTGATAAACAAATGATATCATAATGACATCATGGGAATATATGTAGTTCAAGTATAAAATTGTTTAATAGCTAGGAAACCATCCCCATAGGAAGATGTAAGGAAACTGGGATGGTGGCAAAAAAATAATAAATTCATTTAAATTCTTTTCTGAACATAAATATGAATTTATAAATCTCTTTGTGCTGATATAATTGGCCTATAAGTCTAATGAGGAATTTCCCTTCATCTCTGAGATGAAGAAAATATAGTCAAATGTATGCTGTCCTCAAATTTACTTGTATCATTATGTGATATACTTCTTGCCTTTTTCTTTTATTAAAACAGTTACTTTCTTCATTGTCTTTTGTATTGATATTTAAATACTATGCATCATTCCAAGATGGAAGTCATTTTCTAATCTAAATTACAAGATATTTTATCATTATTCCTTGAGGCAGGAATTGTTTGTTCATAGTACCTTGATGGTTCCTGGTAATAGTAAATGCTTGTTTAAATATCTATTGAATGAACTTACTCATCCAGTAATCATCATTAATATATCTTATTATTATGCACAATTATGTAGTTTCATGTGTGTTAATTGTATCCCCATGCCATTATTATTATGATACATTAAATGTGTATCTTTTTACTCAAGGTAGAATCATAACTAAGTGATCTCTTCTAAGTCATATTGCTGGAATAACTAGAAGAAGAATTTGGAACTCCTGGCTTTGGTTTCATTATTTCTACCAATAGGTTTCTTTTTGCCTCAAAATATACAAGTTTTCTGTTTGTGCTGCCTAGTCGTGGTTGCCATGTCTTCAAAAAACATTTGTCAAAACAAATGAACCAACCCCCCTACCCCCAGAACAGTAACTCCTCCCAAATNTTGCCTCAAAATATACAAGTTTTCTGTTTGTGCTGCCTAGTCGTGGTTGCCATGTCTTCAAAAAACATTTGTCAAAACAAATGAACCAACCCCCCTACCCCCAGAACAGTAACTCCTCCCAAATTTGCATACTAGCTTTAACCCTCAGAAATTCAAAATAGGATAACAGTCATTTTGATGACAAAATGTGCCTGGTAGGAGAAATGGCTCTCTTAAAAGCAAGTTACATTATTTGATGTGTGCAAACTGCAAAGCAGGTGCAGTATCAACGCAGTAATTGTTCAGAGGCTGGAACTTTGTAACTATGGAGACATTACCTCATAGTGTTCCAACAGGCAGTGTCGGCCAGATGGGAAAGTTGTAATCATAAAGGTAGCTTTGCTGGGTTACCGCCCTGTCTCTTGAGTTGCTTCCAGTGAGTGCTACACACCTTCATCTTGATTTGTTTAACATTCTTAGCCAGTATCAGTATTGGCTATGTCGGTAGTTACACATTCACATTAGAATCCTGGCATCAGCTTGGTGAAGAAATCATAATGTCTGGAGAGTGCTTTAAGGTAGTTAGATTAACAAGTGAGGTCACTTGAAAAAGAAAATCTGCCTTGAATCTCCGTTCTCTTCATTGCCTAATGCCATAATTTATTTTTCCAGAAAAGAAAAGATTCTTGTCTTCCAGCCAGTTTGAGAGACGCAGAAACCATTCAGGAAATGTCAGTGGTCCTGCAGAGTGGGGTCCATGAGCTAGAAGATAAGATGGAGACTCAAGCACAGTAAGAAAGTCACAAATGAGTTTCAGAGGATGAGGATGGAGCATTTGACCTTTTTGTTTCAAAACGGCTTATAAAATAGAACTAGAATCGAGTCTACAAATTTCTTAAAATTAATAATAACATAGTACAGTTTCCTCAACCACTGTTTTATAATGTTTAGTCCCTGAGTAATAGAAAAATTCACCTAGACAGATCTCCATCATATCAGACCTGGTAGAGTTTCCAAAACTCATATCTAAACATGTTAAAATAATTGGCAGACAGTTTCTTTAAAACTACTAACAGAACTGCTGGAGAATTTTGGTTTAGGAAATGTCTAGGAGGATGTTAAAATGACAACTCTGTTTTTACTACTAATGTAAATCATTTTATCAACTAAAGCATCAGCATTTGTTTTCCAATGTTTTGTTAAAAAATGATCTTTAAGAAAAATAACCCTATATTAATGCATATATTATGGAATCTAGAAAGTTGGTACTGATGAATCTATTTGCAGGACAGCAATGGAGACACAGACATAGAGACCAAGTCTTGGGGACACAGTGGGGGAAGGAGAGGGAAGGAAGAATTGAAAGAGTGACATGGAAACACATAGATTACCACATGTAAAACAGATAGCCAGTGGGAATTTGCTCTGTGACACTGGGAGCTCAAACCTGGTGCTCTGTGACAGCCTAGAGAGCTGGGAGGGAGGGAACACATGTATATCTATGGCTGATTCATGATGATGTATGGCAGAAACTAACATAATATTGTAAAGCAATTATCCTCCAATTAAAATTTTTTAAATGATCTTTAATATTGAATATACACAATTTAAAGCCAATGTTACTTTGGACCTGGATGTCCTGTGTTTACTGATCAGTTCAAGTCCATTTTTAAAACATTTATTCTTAGAGGTCATCTGAGAAATATTAATAACTTGTCAATATGACCAATGCCACATTGAAATAACATTGAAATGCTGGAATTGAATATTTATAACTACCTCTGCTTTAGTGTTAACTAGTTACAGAGGAAGCAAAATACCAAATAAGGGCTTGGAAAATTCCACATGGGAAAGGGAAACCTAACCAAGCACCAGGAAGAAAATCTCTCATCTTCCAAAAGGAGTCTAATAGTTCTGTGAGGGCAGGGTTCAAACAGTGGGCTGCCCCATGCTCATCTCTTCCTGAAATGTTTTAGCTTTTCCAACAGTGCATGCTGCCATTGGAGACTTCTTGTTCAGCTACAAAAATAAGAACCCCCCTGTGGCCCTAGACCAGATTTCTTTGATCACAACATTTGAAAAAGCTCATTGGGAATCTTTCATGGAATTAAATTTATTTGGAAATGCAATTGTTTTACCAAAGGAAGAAAAAAAAATCAGAGCTTATAAAATGAACATGGTGAAAAGATACAGTCAGTTGTCTTTAATGAAACCCAGATGTAAGGAACTTTGAAAGATAAAGGTCCTTTTCCTGCTTATTCTAGACAGTGTCAGGGAAAAATTATGTCATATGATCTGTCTCATTTTAGACAGAGATGAAATGTTTGCGATTTGACAATATACCTCTGTAGTCTCCTTTTCATTACCACCCCTGTCATACTCAAGAGGGTGTCTTCATGGGTTAGAGCTTCTTTGATGAAAGATGAGTGGTTGGGAAGTCAGTAGAATGGCATGTGCTGAAGCTTTTTAAGTACTGCACAGTAATAATGTAGGCTTTCCAGGTGTCACTAGTGGTAAAGAACCACCTGCCGATATAGGAGACACAAGAGACACGGGTTCGATCCCTGGGTTGGGAAGATCCCCTGGAGAAGGGCATGGCAACCCACTCCAGTATTCTTGCATAGACAATCTGGTGGACAGAGGAGCTTGGCAGGCTACAGTCCATAGGGTCACACAGAGTTGGACACGACTGAAGCAACTTAGCATGCTAACAGTAATAATGCAGCTGCCAATGCCATTTAATTATTTTTTAAAGTTGCCTGAGATATCTGTGCCTTGTGAGAGGGACACTTAGAGAAGTCTGATTTTGAGTAGAGAGCTCTCCAGATATATAACATTTCTGATGAAGGAACTTACCAATTATAGAATAAAACAATTGAGACTACCTCTTGGTAAACAAAGAGATTGAGAGTAACACCAGAAAGATGGCAGATGAGGAAGTTTCAGGCCTTTGTTCCCTTAGAGAAGGATTTGGAAAAACAAACAAAACAGGACTGGCTCAAATAGCATTATGGGAACACTGGAAAATGAGATCAAAATAGAGATAGTGTGTAGAGGCAAAACACTTAGCTCATAACTTATAGACATGCAGCCCCCAGGAAGGGAGTGCTTAGGCTGGCCATGAATCTGGTTTTTCAGAGCTAAAGGATGGGACTCCAGGACCTTGCATTAAAAACATACACATTCACAGGCATATGGATTGCTCTGAGATTACTGAGAAGACCCTCAATGTGAGTCATAAAATGTAGTTGTCATAAGCCTTTTCATGACCTACTCCATGAAAATATTGTTCTACTCATAAAATATCTGCATTGTGGTTTAGGGACTTTGTTTAAATCAATGCATACTATACCTTTGTATTTATAAAAAAGAAAAAAAATCTTTATTCATAGTAAGATTTACTTACAAAAATAATGCCTGAAAAGTAAGTCTTTCTTCTCTCTTTTGTGCTCTTCCCTTCAGCATCCACACACACACACACAAATACACACACAAGTACATATGTGAGCTGTATTTGTAGTTATTAATTTGTAGCATGTATTTGAAAGCATACATTAACCGTAGAATCTTTATAAATGCAAGACAATTAAACAACAGGAGAAATTAAAGGGAAAAGGTATAGTAAACAATGGTATATTAACAGAAATTATAATCCTGTTTTTTCATGTTAATGGAAAGGGTAGATATAACAGGTGATGAAAGTAAGATGGGTGAATTTAATTCAGATGACCATTATATTTACCACTGTGGGCAGAAATCCCTTAGAAGTAATGGAGTAGCCCTCATAGTCAACAAAAGAGTCCAAAATGCAGTACTTGGGTGCAATCTCAGAAATAACAGAATGATCTCTGTTTGTTTCCAAGGCAGACCATTCCATATCACAGTGATCTAAGTCTATGCCCAAACCACTAATGCCGAAGAAGCTGAAGTTGAACAGTTCTATGATGACCTTCAAGATCTACTAGAACTAACACCAAGAAAAATATGTCCTTTTCATCATAGGGGACTAGAATGCAAAAGTAGGAAGTCAAGAGATACCTTGAAAATAGGCAAGTTTGGCATTGGAGTGCAAAATAGCAGGGCAAAGGCTAATCGAGTTTTGCCAAGAGAACGCACTGGTCACAGCAAACACCCTCTTCCAACAGCGCAAGAGAAGACAGTATACAAGGACATCACCAGATGGTCAACACCGAACTCAGATTGATTATATTCTTTGCAGCCAAAGATGGAGAAGCTCTATACAGTCAGCAAAAACAAGACCGGGAGCTGACTGTGGCTCAGATCATGAACTCCTTATTGCCAAATTCAGACTTAAATTGAAAGTAGAGAAACTGAAAGTAGGGAAAACCACTAGACCGTTCAGACATGACCTAAATCAAATCCCTAACAATTATACAGTGGAATGGGAAATAGATTCAAGGGATTAGATCTGATAGACAGAGGGCCTGAAGAACTATGGATGGAGGTTCATGGTATTGTACAAAGAGGTAGTGATCAAGACCATCCCCAAGAAAAAGCAATGCAAAAAGGCAAAATGGTTGTCTGAGGAGGCCTTACAAATAGCTGAGAAAACAAAGAGAAGTTAAAGGCGAAGAAGAAGAGGATAGATATACCCATTTGAATTCAGAGTTCCAAAGAATAGCAAGGAGAGATAAGACTGCCTTCCTTAGTGATCATTGCAAAGAAATAGAGGAAAACAACAGAATGGGAAAGACTAGAGATCTCTTCAAGAAAATTAGAGATACCAAGGGAA